TTTGACTTGTTCTCTAGTAAGATGAGAATATAGCATAGCAATACAGTTCAATCTTCCTCCTTTTCCTCCTTCTCACTCCCTGCCTTGGTTTTCAGATCACACACATCTCTTCTTCACTCTCTATATTCCTCACAGCTTGCTTTCTTCCCCTTTCCAAACCCAACAGTATTATTCCATGACTGTATGGCAGATGATATCCCTTACACATGACCAGCAAATCTTGCATGCAGCAGTTTTCCCCAATAACTTGTAAACTACAAAACTAAAGGGAGCAACTTCTTCCTAGGTAATGCAGTGTGCACATTTCAGAAGGCAGCCTGTTCCTTTAATAAGATATAAACCCATGGTAGTGTGTCTCAGCCAGTTTATAACTCCAGATCCAGACTATAAAACATTAAATTTTTTAATACGCTTACCATGGAATATATATCATTTAACATGACTGTTCCCTTTAAGTTCTGTCTAAAATAAGGTTAGTGAAGATGGAATATATGTAGCGGTTTTTTGTTGAGAGTTGCACCTGCAGTGTAATGTGTAGGTACATCTGCAGTGCATCTTGCACCAGCTCTAGAGCACATATACCATGCAAGCAGATGACTCTTTCAAAATCTCAGTCCCAAACCACTGCTATTTTAAACAAAACAGCTCTAGTTAGAAAATAGTAAACATTTACTTCCCTGCTGCTTCTAGTAACATCATCAGAAAGGCTTGTTCCATAGCTCATACACTGCTTTCTCTCCTCCAACCTCATGAGTGTCTCATCGTACTGATTGCACAGAAACTTACAGACATTTACAGTGCCTACCTGTAGCTTGACTACCGCTGAAGCCTGAGGCTGATAAAGTTGTCTTTGTCAGTGCTATACCGCTGCTTTTCAGCAGTGACATGGATGCTCCCTGTGCATCAGATGCAGTTCATAACTCACACACCAGGAGCTCACAGGGTGGCAGCACATCAGGGGCTCATTCCTGCCAGAGATCTGGCTGTCTAGAGGGTTTCTTTTCATTTCCTGAAGTCTAAAAAGGGGTAGTTGCGTCCATCAGAAGTTCTTATTCATGCGTGGGGAAATACCACTGAATGCATTCGTGTAATATTGACGTTAGATAAATGGGTGCTTCTCCAGCCAGTGGAAAGATTCTTTCTTTGCCCACAGGAATCTCCTATGGGAAGGCCATAGGTGTATTTAAACCAAGCTGGGTTGACTTCATATATGTATATTTGGCATTAAGAATTTTGCATTTCTGTGACTCCAAGGGAAGCACTTCAGATACTCTTAAATGGCTCTTACATTTTAATGTGAGGCAGGAGGTGACAAACATGTGAGAGGTGGTTGATTTGCCCACAGCTGAGAGAATCTGCTACCTTTTTGTAGATAACCTGCCAAGTCCCACACATCTACGTTGTGTTCTTCCCAGTGAGTAGAAAGAAACCTGTTTTCTTCCACTGGTGATGCAGTGTTTCACTGGTGGTTGATCACACGCTAGAGCAAGGCACACAGGAGTTTGGAGTTTTGGTGATGCTTATGTTCAGAAGTTCAGATAACAAGAAGAGATGATTTGCAATTTTTTTCTAATAAATCTATTAAACTGTAGATTTTTAAGAATAAAGCAGTTATGAATTTTTAGCAGGTACCAAGCTACTGTTTCCTGAGTTACTTGTGATACTTATCTTTGTTTCTCATGATGCTTCAGTATCAAAGAATAGTATATCCAATATATATATTTATATATTTGTTTTATTGAACAAAGGTGGATGCACACAGTGCATCTATTGCCCATCTCCATTGGATGGTACTCTATGATGAATGTGATGCAGAAGTTATAAAGCATTTGCCAGAGAGGGACTTTTTACAAGAGCACTTAGTGACAGGGCAAGGCTTTAAACTGAAAGAAGTTTAGATTAGATATTAGAATGAAATTCTTCCATGTGAGGGTTGTGAGGCCCTGGCACAGGTTACCTGGAAAAGCTGTGGCTGCCCCATCCCTGGAATCCTTCAAGACCAGGTTGTATGGGGCTCTGAGCAACCTGGTCTGTGGAAGGTGTCCCTGACCATGGCAGGGGCTCAAAATGAGGTGATCTTCAAAGTCTGTTCCAAACCAAACTGTTCTATAGTTCTGTAAAGCACTTTTTGGTATTCATATTTATGGAAATGTTTCTTGAATTGTTCCTGAATTTTATTGGGAAATGGCTATGAAATTTTGTTTTTAAAATAAGTGCAGCTTGTAGTTGTGAATATATTGCTGTAGAGAGAAAGAAGAAAGCAGAAGTAAACCTGATTCATCCTTTCTCGTTCTCCAGGTAACCAACACAAAAAGTAACTGCACAAAAATGGCAATAAATCAGGCATTTTTTTAAAATCATATCCTTTTACATTCCCTGAGAATATTAAAATAACATTGGTAAATTTTTAATGTTTGGGAAATATTAATGCTTTATTTTAACCTGACAGGTTCTGGCTTTTATGAACAAATGTCAAACCAAGCTTTATACTACGATGTTAGCAAGTTGTAAATGTGCCTTTGACATTAAAAGGAATTGTAGGTATTTTAATTAAAGTTTCCAAAGGATGTTTTTCCCCAAATGTTCACAGTTCTACGTAGACAGTTAATCTTCCTCATATATTTCTGTCTCCAGTTTGTACTAAGTGCAAATCATGCTTATGACTTGAATGAAAACTTAATTTATTATGATAGAGTGTCTGTATTTTGTGAGCTACCAGACCCAGCCGTGGTGCTGGTTCAGGGTGTGAACCCTGCCACTGCCCAGTGATTTCCCATCCGTCCTGTTTATGGCACAGAACCATTAATTTCTCTCTGTTCAGTACAAAACTTCATTTTATGGGGAAATCCAGGTTTTAATGCAGGATAAATAATGCGTAAGTCACATTTTTTACCTCTTTTTTTCTGTTTTTCTCTTCATTCAGAAGACAGATCAGAGTGTTCTGTTAGTACAGTGCTAGTGTGTTGTGAGTTTGGGGTAAAGAACTGAGCTTCCCCCAGCCCTGTTTTACGGTCTCCCAAGGAAGGTCAGAGGCAACGAGCTGCTCAGGAATCCCATGGAGCTCAGAGAGAAAAACATGAGACTTCCTTGGCAAGGGCTGTAATAAATATAGGACCAGTCTGCTGGATAGTCTGGGCCAGCCCTGTCCAGGGAGCAGATTCCCCCAGCTCTCTCAGGAGCCCAGATCCGTGCCCAGCCCAGCACTGGCCTGCCTGTGAACGCCTGCTGGAGCTCTGCTTCCTTTTGGTTTTCTGAGAGATGTGATGTGTGTCCTGTGGCTTGTGAAGTCAGGAGGCTTGGATACTCGTGACTGCAATTACTTGGCTTAGGTATTAATTTCTGAAGGACACAAGACAGGCTGTCTCTCTAAGATGCTTAGTTATAGTGAGGAGCAGCCAGGCAGCCAATGCTTGCTGCTCCAGCAGTCGTGATGGTCTTGAACTAAACAACAATTGACCAGATTAGAATGCATGTAACACAGATTTTTACTTCTTTTTTTATCTTAGCTGTACATTGATTTCTCTTTCTGGGAGCTGAGCTAATGTCTGCTGTAAGATTTTACTCTTACCTGACCTTGAATAGAGCAGGTTTGAGTTTACAGGGTATTTGCCTCAGCTATGTAGCAAACCAGTGTATCATCTGCATTTTACTATTTGCTAGATAACTTTCCAGTTTGAAAAGGCCTTGTTCCTAGATATAACAGATGTGTTGCAGTTTATATAAGAGAGAAATTGGGAGCAGGAGCGTTTCTCTTGCATTAGATTTATGCTCACAGCAGTACCCGTATTGTATATGCAGCTATCTTTAGAAATGGCCTTGCTGGATATATCTGTGCCCTCAGTGAAATGTGGAAAGCAGCAGAACTGAGGAGGTATTTCATTATTTAAGAGGTGAATGTTAAGAATCACTGCTGCTGCTCTGTACATCACACAAACTGCAGACACAACACATTGGTACTAAATTAAAGAATAATAGAAGTGAGATAGACATGGTACTGCTGAGCTTATCCTGCTGACAATTCTGTATCAATAGGTTGCCTCCTCAAAATGTCCTTTCTCAATTTTTCTCAAGAGTTTCAGTTCAACTTTGTTTTCTTCTTTTCTTTTTTTCCCCATGAGAGACCCAAGAGTTGGAAGACTGCTTTGTAACATCCCATCCTAGCTGATAAATAATGAAATTGCCCCAAGTTAGGAATGCCCTGAGACAAATACACAGTCATTTCTCTGCCTTTGGGTGCTAGCTCTGACAAAATTCAGGCGATGGTTCAGTGGATTAGCTGTCAACCTTGATCCTCATACTTACAATTTATAAAGCAAGTTTATTTAGTGAAGTACTTTTTTTTTTCTTAGAAACCTTTAAAAGCCTGCAAATATTGTCATGCTCACTCTAATTTAAACCACTGTCCTGTTGTACACTTTAGTGACCTTATTTTCACCATAATGTTTATTTTTGCTGATACTGTAGAAGTGGTCATTCTGCAGTACTTTGACCTTCTAATAGGTTATTTATTAAAGATATTAGAGAATTTCTGTGCAAAGCACATTGCCTCAGTCCCTAAAACAGTGCAGTAAATGTAGTCTCCATGACAAGTTTGGAAGTGATCTGTGTCTACCTGTGTGGCTGCTCTGAAGTTTTGCATAACTCCTCTCTAATTCCTAAGCACCAATGATCTTTGAACTGCAGTTTAGGTGTCCAGTCAGCAGAATTGTTTCTTGGGCAATGACAGCCTGTGAATAACTGTGGTGTGAAAGTAGAGAATGGAAAGGGATCATCTCTCGGAATAGAGAGGCAGTGCTCCTGGGTATGTGGCTTTGTGCTCTCATGCTTTTGTGGTGAAATGTGTAGCTTCTACCAACCCTCTGCACGAGCAACGTGAATTCTGACACGTGGGTACCACTGAGTTTGTCCAAGAGCAGAGTGGAGTAGCGATGAAAACAGGGGAAACTGCAGCAAAAATCCTCCGCGGGTTTTAATCGGATGTTTTCTCATTACCTTTCCAGGTCCGATGTGGTTGTTCTGTGCTTTTCCATTGCTAATCCTAATTCCCTGAATCATGTGAAAACGATGTGGTATCAAGAAATCAAGCACTTCTGTCCCCGCACACCTGTCATTCTGGTGGGCTGCCAGCTCGATCTCCGCTATGCAGACCTGGAGGCTGTGAACAGAGCCAGGCGGCCTCTGGCAAGGTAAAGTTTAAACAAAATTAAGAATTAAAAAAGAAATCACCTTGGTAATCAAGTACAGCGCTTTCAAAAGAGAAATTAAAGAGCCTAGTTTCCTTTTTTCTATACAATAGGAATATATGTGCTTTCTTCTAATTCTCTTCTCTGAGTTGGTTAGTTCTTTAGCACATGCAGTTATTATGTTTCCCACAATATTTTTACACATTGGACATCTAAACTCATTTGGGTGCCTGAACACTATAGTAAGATAGAGATAATAATGATTACTGAAGGTTTTGGTATATATCCTTCTCCTTCTGAACATGTGTATCATGTCCTAAACATGTATATTGTCCCTACTGTCAGATACTGTTTTAAACTGGCAGATTCTGCTCAAGTTTTCTTAATTCTCTTTTTTTTTTTTTTTTTGTAATTGTAATCCTTGATCATGGCAGAAAATAAAATGGTTTCAAATTAAACTTTTAAAAGTTCTGATGTTAAAAAAGTTCTAATCTTAAAAGAGAGTTTGGGGTCATTCTGGAGAAGCTTTTTTTCTTTTTTTTTTTTTTTTTTACCAGATTCAAAAGACAGGTATTCACATGTTCATGGGAACTTGAGTGAGACCAGATTCATGAAAATAAGAAATAATATCCATGATCACATAATTAAAGACTGTATTGTAACTAATTTCCATAAGGAGATCGAATTAATGTTTTATGGGCCCTTAGAAGACATTGCATTGCATTCAAATTCTTGATTTGGCAATATGACTTTCATATGTTTGTTTGTTTATTAAACATTTCTTCATAATGTGGGTGGAGTGGGCTTTTTGTTTGACTCTTTAAAAGGAAATGTTTGATTTTTTTTTAATTTTTTTTTTTTTCCAAAACTCTTCTTCTGCCCTAATTCCTGATTTCACCATTAATAAAACTGAATTGGTACTCTGCATGTCTAGCACAGACTTCTGCCACCTGAACTGGTTATTTATTAGCTGGTGACTACAGCAAGCTGTTGTCTGGGGTGTGTTAAGTCTGTGCCAGCTTGTGTCTGCCCAATATGGAATGCTTGGAGAACACGCTGTTGGGTCGTGTCTTCTGGTGAGATGATTTTTTTGCTGGGAAAATGGATCCTGGCCCAGACATTTTACTGGTTTTGTTTACCCTACATCATGTACTGGAGCTGTTCTGGAAATTCATGAGTTCCCACATAATGCTTCTACAGCCAAAAAGCCTCTCTCGTGAAGAGTGTGCTCAGTTACACTTTTGTCATAGGCTTCTATGATTTTCTTTAAAACACATAAGCTCAAGAAATATTTCTCATTTCATATTTAGCTATATTTTTGGCATTTTTATGTCATGAGGATTTCCATTTAAATGAAGAAAGATTGACAAAATATCTGAGTAGTGAGGGATGTTAGGAGATTTTTTAAATAATGAAAGTTCTCAAGTATCCTATCAGCTTTTTCTACTCTAAATTTCCCTTTAATAGAGAGACAACTTACTCTTTTTCGTGCAAATGATTTCTACATATATTTAGTAACGCTGCAAAGACACCACCAAACTTAAATGAAATTACAAGTATGTGCTATTCCAAAACTCTGTGGAGTCATGACTGTAGATTTCCAAAGGGAATTAGTGTTGAGCATTTTGTAAAATTCCATGCTTTCTGGAATAACTTCCTGATGACTGTTGTGTGTGACAAGGTTTATTTTTTGTTCAACCCTAGGCCGATAAAAAGGGGAGACATTTTGCCCCCAGAAAGAGGCAGAGAGGTTGCCAAGGAACTTGGGATACCATACTATGAAACCAGTGTATTTGACCAGTTTGGGATTAAAGATGTTTTTGACAATGCAATTAGAGCTGCCCTGATCTCCAGGAGACACCTGCAGTTCTGGAAATCTCATTTGAAGAAGGTCCAAAAACCTTTGCTTCAGGCTCCATTCCTACCTCCGAAAGCCCCTCCTCCGGTTATCAAAATTCCTGAGTGTCCCGTGCCGAGCGTGAATGAAGCTGGATATTTATTGGACAGCCCACTGTGTGCAGATGTCATGTTTGTTCTCCAGGAGCAGGACTGCATTTTTGCTCACAAGATTTACCTAGCTACCTCCTCTTCAAAGTTTTATGACCTTTTCTTAATGGAATGTGAGGGAAGTCTGGACTTGGATGAAACACAGTGTAATAAAGAAAACACAAATAAGGATGTTCAGACAAGTCACCCTGAGACAAACAGTGACAGTAATGAGAATTCCTTGAAAACTGCTGATGTTAAAATTCCCCCACCAGAAAGCAGTGACTCTTTAAACGTGCTAGAACCTGAATCTGGTGAAACAAACTCTGCAGCAAGATCTCTGTCATCCTGGGGTAAGGGGTTTGTTAGTGTGCACAAGGAAATGCAAGTGAATCCCGTCTCCAATCGGACATGTCCTGTAACTGTGGTAAAAATGGATTCATCTGTGCAGGCCGGACCTTTTAAAACTGTTTTGCAGTTTTTATACACAGGCCAACTGGATGAAAATGAAAAAGACCTCACAAGACTTGCTCAGATTGCTGAAATCTTGGAAGTATTTGATTTGCGGATGATGGTGGAGAATATTATGAATAAAGAAGCCTTCATGAATCAAGAGATTACTAAAGCATTTCATGTCAGAAAAGCTAATCGGATAAAAGAGTGCCTTTGCAAAGGGACGTTTTCTGGTAAGTAAATACGTGCTTAAGCAGGAAGAGCACTAATTCTTTTCTCATTCATGTTACTCTCACTTCCCAGACTTCAAAAACTCTGACAGCTGACATTGTTCAGGGAGGATGACCCCAAAATTAGAGTGTTACTCAGACCAACTGTTCCAAACTGAGATTCTGTGGTTTAATTTCTCAAAATCTACCCACAGCTTTTAAAGAAGGGACCCAGTTCTCCAAAGTGTTGAGCGTCCAATATCCCCCTTTTACATGAGGCTTTTCATTTAACTATACAAAACCAAGTTATTTTTGGGGTGGGGGCCATGGAAATGAAAAAAGTCCTTGGTTAACAACATGCAGGTGACACACACATTCTGGAGGCTCAATTTCACTTTAAGCACAGCCTTGCAGCACGTCTGTTTCTTTTTTCCCATGGCAGATGTGACATTTAAATTGGATGATGGAAGCATAAAGGCCCACAAGCCACTGCTGATCTGTAGCTGTGAATGGATGTCTGCTATGTTTGGAGGATCATTTATTGAAAGCTCCAACAGTGAGGTATTTGTCTGTTTTTGTCCATTTTGCTTACAATGTTTGATGGATTTAGGGTGATGGGAGCATCATTCTGTATCTATTTGAAAGGTTGCAATAATCCTTGGTGTCAGTCTTTATTCTTCCCTTGCAAACTTGGGATGCTTTTCTTCTTAAGGCATTAAATAAGGTTGCCTAGGAAGGTAACATCCTTTTTGCACAAAACTTCCTTCCAGCATTGGAGCTTGTGTTTAAACCCAAAGTCCTTTAAAATATTAAATATAGGGGGAGGGGGAATTAAGTATGAATTAGTGAATTTCTTTAAAATAATTTTCAAGCAGTGTGAATATACATTTGTACAATCAGAAGCATTACAAAGAATACTTGAGGCAAGAGCATTCATGAAGGAATTGAAGAAAAAAAAGCATTAAAGAACATAGTGCTAAACTAGAAAAGGGAGCTGGTTTTACAGTAGAAGTTAAGCAAACTTGAGTAGAAGTTCTACTAACTTTGGTAGAAACTCAGCTCAGATTCTGTAATGCATCAGTTTGTCCTTTGGAATAAAACAGGTATGCACTGTAATTTAAAATATCTCAGTGCTTTGAATTAAGATTTTGCAGCAGGAGCCTTGTGTTTTCAGTTGCCTTCATGGTCTGTTTTTCAAATTCCAAACACTCGGCTAATATTTCTTTCTTGTGCTTTATCCATGCCCAGAGTTTTATTTTTGTTTTGATTTTCTTGTTCCTTTCCATACTCATGGGTCTTGCTCATATGAAGAGTTCAGTTCTTTCGTGTTTAATATTCAGGAAGATTTTGTTCTACTTAGATTTTTCTGGCTTCTTCTAATACAGCTGTAAACATAATTCCTTTCCCAGAGGCATACTCAACAAGTGGTTCATTAAAAATACATAGTTTCATTCTAGCAAGGAACATTTGGCAATGAAGAATATGCATTTATTTTCTACCAGCCTATTTTTAATGATTAGCTTAACAGTCTTAGCTTATCTTTCCAATTTAAAATATTTAGCTTCCATTTTGTAGAGTTTAAGGCATTCAGTAATGCTTTTGGAAGTTTTAAAATATAGGTAGATATGAATTGAATGGTTTCCTTTGATTGGTTTACGAAAAATAAAACCATCTATTTTTACATATTACCTTTTTGTATTTAGGGCAAATTTTGTAAACTCATTCATTGAATTTACAGTTCTCTGCACTAACAAAAATATATTAATTATGAATGAGTTTCACAGCTAGCTGCTCTTACTTGGAGAATGGAGTGGCTGATATGCCTGAGGGCTTCATGCTTTAGCACTAACAGATCAGGGTTTGGATCCCACCCATCCAGGCAGAGCTGAAAAAAAATTCACAAATCCCTGAAGTTTAACAACCAGCTTACCTGGCAACACTTAACCCCTTCTAGCAGGAAGTATGTGCTGACTGCTTCCAGTCAGATTGAGTTGCATGTACATTTAATTCCTCCTCATAATGTTATTATTATTTTTCTACTGTGCCATTCTTTTCTTGCAATTTCTTCAGAATACCACAGCACATTCTTCAGTGACAGCACCTCTTCCTTGAGTTATGAAGGTGTACATTGCAAATTGCTGATTGATGGGATCCACTATCTCAGGGATTGGAGGCAACCTTCAGCCCTGCAAGTTTTACCCTGTTCTTTCTGTGCAAACTGTGGTTGAGATGCTACAGTGATAGGTTACAGTGGGGCTTTTGAACTGTCCTTCCTCTTCTTCTAGACCTCCCTGCAGTGAAATGGAGTTAGGGTTGTGCTGGGGAGAAAACAGACAACTTTTGTCCTAGTCTTGGTGGCTTCATCCCATGCTGGTTACACTAATTACACATGTGGCAAAAACGGCTTATATATTTTTTTCTTCATTTCTTCAGTTCTCAATTCCTTCCCAATCTTCTTTGCTTGGATAATTTGATTATTTACAAACAGACAGAGAGTCTGTTTTATTGTTATCCTTTGTTTTTTGTTATTCTCAGAATATTCCTTGCCAGAAGCAGATAGATTACATTCCTCAGGGCATCAACCAAGGGAGGTTTGGCATGAGGAGTGCTCGGTGGCTTTTATGTATCCCACAGAGCTGTATATTTGCAGGCTAGAAATCACTGAACAGATTCACTGCTTGATGTGGATCCAATTCCAGCAACTTGGTACCGAATTGCTTGTATGTAAACTGGCAAAGGATCTGACTCTGGAGGTATGCTTACCTGATGGCAGCTTCTTGAACTTTAATGGGAAATTTCTGTTTTGAAAAATGTTTTCCCTGCGTTCCTAAAATAATGTGAAGAGACAAAGAGGAAGTCCAGCAAAGTCAGAGAGGTGAAATATGGCCTCTATATTAAAATCCCTTAATTATTAGAGACTTTTTTCTTAAATATCTTTTCCAGGTAGTTCTTCCCAACATAAACAAGGCTTCCATGCAAGCGGTTTTAGATTACTTGTATACCAAGCAACTGTCCTCCAGTCAGGAACTGGACACACTTGAGTTAATTGCATTGGCAAATAGATTTTGCCTTCCTCACCTGATTGCTCTCGCAGGTAAGAATTTGTGGCCTTGTCCAATGCAGTGTCTTCTGCAATGGCTGAAACGTGGTTTAATGGTTTTTCAAACATACAAGATTTTCCCAAGTGTCAGAGAAAATAATTCTTTTTTTTTTTCTGAGAGGGATATTGTAACACAAATTGATATTTTCATATAGAGAAGTGTATTTGCCTTTCTCTTGCCCTTTTCAGTTTCTTGCTAAATCAGCTCAGAACACTGAAGTTTTCTGTGCTTTAAAAACAAGGGAGTGAACCTTCTCTTTAGCATTGATTCTGACATCTGTGGATTGTAATGGCCATTCTGTTGTTGTTAATTTACCTGAAAACAGGAAGAACTCCGGGTTTTCTTTTAAGTAATGAACGAAGCAGCATTTTACATTTCTGTTCAAAGAGAGTAACTGAGCCAGGACTGATCTAGATGATCATGTTTCTTTCTATGTATGTAACTTGGCACTGTTATGAAGACGTGACCAAGGCCAAAAGTCAGAGGCAGATGAAGCGAAGGTACATATATCTGCAAGACAACATCTAGGCAAAATTTAATCACATACCAAACCCTAGCTCTCCTTCAGTTGTGCATCAGGAATGTGCCTCATGTCTTCACTAACCAAATCTTTATTGCCTGATTTTGTCTATACATTTTATCTGAAGGGTTTTTTTTTTTTTTTAAGTAATTGCAGCATAAACATATGTAGAGCATATGAAGAATATTTCATTCAGTTTAATTCCTGATGAAATAATTTTGAGTCCAAAGGCTACTGCCAACAACTGAACCCAGCAGAATCAAGTCAACTGACAGAAAACCTTTCCCAAAAAGCATTCAAACTTCCAAGATTCTAGGAAATGGTTCTGGGAAAGGGTTAGGGAGAATCTTGAATTGAAGTGACTGTTAGGGGGGAGCTGGTCAGCCTTCATCTGGATCCCTAGATCTGTAAGTCTGAAGAGGTCCTGAAGTGACCTTTTCTCTATCAGTGCTCTGTATACTCATTAATAAATCCACAATTCAATGGGAAGTGCACTGTTGCCTAAAAACATCTTATTACCCTAAAGAGACAGCTGATCCATATTTTTAATTTATATTGAATATTGTACCCATCCATTCTGCCAGAAAGAGACTAGTGGCTGCTGAACTTTGTCCTTCTGTGAGTGGTTATTAACTGCAGACTTGCTTTCTGTCAGAAAGAGATAAGCATTGTGTGAAACCAAAATAAATTGTTTGGGTTGAGGCAAAGGGGCAAATCCCCATTGGGACTGTGCTCCAGTGGACCAAATCAGTTTATAACTGTTATACAGAACCTTCAGCCACCGCTCTAAAGGTGAGAATTTGACTTTACCCAAATCTGAAGCTGCTGACGGTATCTGTGTGAATGTGACCTGTGCATAATGCTGGTTAACACCAGGAGAACATCCCACCTGGGTTCTTTGTTACCTGTAGATGATCTGACCTTGAAATGTGACCATTTCCCATGTGAGTGATGAGTTTTCTCCTCTAACAGAACAGCATGCAGTACAAGAGCTGACAAAAGCCTCCATGAGCGGCGTTGCAATAGATGGAGAAGTGCTCTCCTATTTGGAATTGGCACAGGTCAGTGTACACAGCTTTTTAAAGATATTCTGATCTGCAAGTCTGCAGGACTTGCTTTTAGCACCTTGCTGGTTCTGAGCATTGCTTCTGAGTGCCTCAAAGTCTGCAGTTCTGAGAGCGACTGACAAGAAAACTTAGTTTTATCTTCTATTTTAAGGAAGGTTTTTCCATTAGTTCAAAGGTGAAACATCCCTTTAAGTAATCTCAGAGGAGTTGTCTTTCAAATATATATATTTTAGTTTTTCTTGATTGTGGAACTTCCAAGCTCCATATTCTCATGACCATGGTTCAGTAACGTGAAAAGCAATGTAATGAAGCTGTTCAGCTTTGTAATGGTGACTGATTCTTGCCTTCCTTTCAATTCAGCTCTGGTAGATTTATTTAGATCCCTATTGCAAAGGCAACAGTTTTTGAATACTTAGACTGGCTACTCAAAGTCAATCATCTGATAATTCAGAGTGAGTGCAAATCCTCTTTATGTTCAAATTTGTTTCAGTGTTTCTTGAGTCTCAGAAATCATTAAAAAAGAGAGTCCCCAGCTCACAGTTAAACACTGCTGTTTTCCAAAAGGAATCATACAGCAGACTCCCAGATACAGTAGAAAAAGATAAAATATTTTAAAAATTTTATTACTCTTGATTTCACATTAATGATTCAGCTGCAGATTGGCTTAAAGTCTGGGGTTTAAGTAGCACTGAAATACTGCAAGGCTGGCAACCATGTAACATTTCCTGCAGCTGTTTTCCAGTGGCTCTCTTGCAATACCTATAATCCTTTTGGAAAACCAGAACTGAACCCCTCCCAAGAGAGAGCAGCTCACTTCACTTCATTTTGATTTTACAAAGAGTGATTTTTCTTTTAATTTTTTTCTCCTGGTTGAAGACAGAAGCAGTATCTTTAACTACTGTTAAAATATTCTCTGTGCCCAGTACCTCCCTCAGTATGATGTGTTCATAACCTGAGATCATAGCAGGCAGTCAGAGTGCTGAAATCCATTCACAGCCTGTACAACTTGACTTGCATTTTAGCTGTGCTTCCTTGTGACTGTAGGAAGCTTGTACAAGATTCTACCTTGAGCTTTCAGTGTACCCAATTTCTGTCAACAAGCAGTTCTCCAGGGAGTTACTTCAGAGCAGGGTTTGCAGTAAGTGTAGGGACACATGGCTGGTACAATCACACCGGGAAATTCAGTTCCAGCGTGCCGTGGGTTCAGATCCTGCATGGGTCTGAACACCCTTTGCCAGATGCTGGGTGTGTTAAGCACCTATTCATGAGCTTTTGGGGCACTTCCAGCAGAATTGTGCAACAAGGTCTAGGGCATCTAAAGGCCACTTGAGCCTCAAAAGTTCTGTGTGCTTGGGAGAGTTCTGCCAGGTACAATATGCCGGGGACCATTCTGGTTTCAGCTGTTAATGGGGGCTGCAAAATGAATGATAACCTCAGGAAGTGGAATAAGCTCTCTGTTTTTCTTCCCAGTTTCACAACGCTAACCAGCTGGCAGCTTGGTGCTTGCACTACATCTGCACCAACTACAACAGCGTTTGCTCCAAATTCCGCAAGGAAATCAAAGCTAAATCTGCAGGTATGGGCAACTTCCTTCCTCAGTTTTCACGAGGTTTCCCCTTCTTTCTCCCCCCTAGTTGATTAAACATGAAGACAAAGATGAGCTCAGACAGCTAAGCCAGGAGACTGAACCTCTGCACTATCTGAATAGCATTCATAAATTCTTATCTACAAAGAAAGGTCATAACCATTAGCCTGATTGCTGGGCAAGCGTTATGTTCTTTACCTAATTCAGTGATGCTAAAAGGAACAGAACTATTTAAAGGCTCTGCAATGAAAAATACACTCTGTAAAGGCCTTGCTTTTTTATAGCTTTTGGTGGACTACAGCCTTTTTAGTGTAACCCCTTTCAAAGTCTTGTCACATTGTAAGTAAGGCATTGAAGGAAACTGGGTGAATCCTTGATCAGCCAGAGAACATAGAGACTGTGTGAGGGATTAGCTGCATAGCTTTTTGCAGACACTCAAGACATTCCTGAGATTTGTGTATCTTATTGGCTTGTTTGTTGTGTTTTTTTTTTTTTTTTGATTGTTTCTTTTTAATCAGATAATCAAGAATACTTCGAGAGGCATCGGTGGCCGCCTGTGTGGTATTTAAAGGAAGAAGATCACTACCAGAGGGTGAAAAAGGAAAGAGAAAAGGAAGATGTTGCACTGAACAAACATCATTCAAAGCGGAAGTGGTGCTTCTGGAATTCCTCTGCTGTAGTTGCCTGAACAAAGCAAATGAGTGGAAATCCATAGACAGAAATTATTCTTATTTGTTGGAAATAAGATGTAGTTCAGGTTTTCAGGAAACTGTGTTCCAAGTGTGCATTTATTACTGCTAGGGTCAAAAGCACAAGCTCACTGAAAGTGAGCCTGGAACAGCTCCTCGAAGTCACATGTATATTTTTGACTGGTAAGCAGATAAATGTCGATCATTGTTACGTTTCTTTTTATACAAAAAAAAAACCAAATCCAGCATTAATGTTTCAGTCTCCAGTTGGGAAATATTTTTATACTGTCTGGTGTATTTTGTTCAGATAAAATTCTGGATACTGTTTTATTTTACAGACCACAAAATAACCATGTAGCAGCTTTGTAATTAGATTTTAACTATTTTTACTATGCGAGCACAGTGAAATAGACAATCTTCAGTCATAAGAGACTGCTTTTAGAGTATCTCATAAAAAGTCATCTTAGGAAAAAAATCTAGTTCCTACTATAGGTTGTCTTTTTTAAACTAAGTACTGTGCACTGGTAATATAATTAGATGGTTATTTCCCCTTTCTAAAGTAAAGGGTTAGAATAAGATCCAATAACTGCAAGATATAGAGTGCTTGATCTTTGCTCAGCTGAATAATAGGCAGTATAATTACCTGTTCAACTGCTGGCAAATGTATTTCTACATTTTTCTAATATTTGCCATGTAAGTGCAAATAATTATGACTATGTGGGCCATGTGAAATCTAGTGATTCTAAGTATTCAGAGGTTTTATATGTCTAGATCAAAGAGGATATTTCTAAAATCATTTAGAAGGGCTTATTAATTTATATCCTTATACAAGTATGGATCTGAATGCAAAAAGCAGTCACACTGCTTGCATTTGAATTACTGCATGGCAGTTACCTTGTTCTGCAGGATCTTAAAACCATGCAGCCATTTTTCATCCTGAATTCCCTTTTGCTTCAGTGCAAGCAAATAAAGGGCTGCAAAACCAAGTAGATGTCATCTAGTGTTACAGCATTTTGTAAGTGAAGAAGGGTCTTCACATACAAGATTACTTCAGTTTGATCCAAACTGTTTTATAGCTTTTCCCAGGTAGAACTCAAAATTTTAGGTTATTTTTAAGTAGATAATGTATTTCCCCTGGAAGCAAATTCCCAGAACGCTGGGGGGCAAACTGTTGGCAGAAGGGCAGGAATTCTGCTCAACTGGTGCAAGAAATGAAAAAGCTTCCAGTGTTTTCAAATAGCCTGTGTGTTTATGACTTTTTGTCAACCATTACTCTAAAGCTGCAGTGTTACACTAGATTATGTAAGGATGAGAGCATTTCTTTAAAAGACCAAAACTGAAATACATAGACTGTAGAACATACACATGCAATCCTGTGCAGTGTCTCAGGCACAACTCTGTAACCAAGGTAGTATTGTGTGTTAGGTTCCTTAATACTGTTTTGTGCTGGCAGCTCAGCACACCAGTGTGAAAAGCTGTTTGTTTGTTTATTTGTGGGTTTTTTTCTGTATCCAAAGGCAAGGCAGTACAGTCACACCCCAGCACTGTAGGTCAGGAAAGGCTTTGGCCTGAAAGCCATATACACCTCTGCATATTTGCGCTCTGAACGGACTAACTCTTGGCAGGTGCTACCACAGGATGGTAGAAGCCACCCAGCACGAAAGAGATGCTGCTCTACAAACCTCTGTAAGGAAAGCCAAGTGAGAGATTCCTACCCCTTTAAGATTCATCACTGTATGGTGATAAAGAAGGGCTACAAATGATGGTTGCAAATATGTCTCCTTAATTCTCGATCAGTGACAATGTGTAGTGTGGAGGAGAAGACGTGTCAAGACCAAGATGAGATCAATAGCTGTTGTCATAAAATGTTAAGCAGTCACATTTTAAGTAAGTATTGCTATAGGTTTTACACAACCAAAGCTACTGTATGATTGTAATCTTGCCAAACTGTAATGGATATATAAATGAACCTGAGGTATATGCAATAATATCCAGTTATTCTAGTTATCAGCTACTATAACCAAGTGGCTGGTTCATTTGGTTAATGCTGTCTATGGCCTTTAATCTTGGTGGTTATTTTGTGTTTTTTATTTTGGAAAAAAAAAGTCAATAAAACTGTTTAGTTACAAATTGTCTCCTAGCTCTTTGAAGAAACTTCCTGAATTTTGCATTATGTGCTTCCCTTTTTAGTGCTGCTTGTAAGCATTCAGTTGTGGTATCATTCATTGAATTTTACTGAACTGATACTTGCACAGCACATTAGGATTTATGGTTGGGAATGTCACAAGGAAATCCTGCAGTGGTTGTTTATGTGGTGGAAGGTTGGTGCTTGTCACTGTTAACTGCATAGCAAAAAAAACCAAACCAAAACAAAAACAACAACACCTCTTGCCACTTTTCCCCATGGTTTCTGATATTTAATTAGCATGATATTACCCAAGGGACATGAAGCTAATTGGTCATGACAGACACAGGGAGGGAAAATGTAGGTAAACAGCAGGAAGTCTGAGGTTTTCAGTGCACTCTAAACTTTGTACTGCTTCTCACTGCCTTGGTTGCCAACCATTATACAGAATTCCTCATTAACTGCTCATAGACCCTCAGCAACTACCTCCCTGAATATAGCTTGTTTAATTGATAGATGTAGAAAGTTGGTACTTTTCTAGAGAATTTTTGCAAGATGTCATGCAAAGAATACCATGTTAAGAGCTTTGAAAAAAAATCACAAAGCAATGCCAAGGACACTGAAAGTAAGCCCATTCAGTACACGTTTTCCCAAGTGGTAATTTATGAAAATGTTACGTACCCATTTTATTTTTGGAAGCAAAAGTTTATTTCTTTGAACTTACCATTAGAATAGAAAATGGGCTCAAAAGAAAAAGTGGTGACAGATGTAAAAATGCTTCTCTTGATTATGAGAAAACCAGTATCAAGGAAGGAAGGAGAAAATCAGAAACATTGCTCTTCAGGGCATTCTTTTTTAAATATTAAGACCAGTATTAAGATTCTGCATGTCCTTTGTTTCTGGGGAGTCTCATCTTATTTCTTAGAAACACTGTTTTTCTATTTGTTCTTCAAGGCAGAATTTCTGTGAGCAAGTTTCTCTGCAGCACAACACAAACCAGTTTCTGTGGCTTCCTACCCACAAATAGCACACCAGAGCCAGGAATAGAAATTGTTTGTGTGAGTAAGATAGGATTGGCCAGGCTGCAGCCACAACTCACTAATTTCATTCACTGAAGACCTACTCATCACAGTCTGTTAGTCAGATCAGGCCTGCCAGTGTGCAGAGGTAAGCCAGACAGCACAAAATATGTGGGTACATTAAGAAGGGTTGCCTGGTAGAAGAGACTAATCTGGAAATCCCTTTTGAGCACTGGAAACGTGATTCTGCCCAAAGGAGTAAGAAGAAGCAGCACAGCAATTTATTGCCTTAATTCTTCAGCAACTTACCTACAGATAGCCCTTAAGAATAACTTATGCCTAGAAGTGTTTGATTTGTAAAATCAGGGAATCTTTTCCATATGCGAGTAACAAGCACTGATAGACCAGCTGAAGGCATCTTGGAAATCCTTCTCTCAGGGTCAAGTCTTTCATCCTCTGTACAAAGAGGTTTAGATAAAGATCTAATGTGCTAAATAGGATTAATTTTGGTACGTAAACTCCAGGATGGTGACATATTACAATTCTTTCAGACTTTAGAGTCTGGTGAAGAGATTTGCTTTGTCAGATGAAACAACAGTTTTGTCCTTATTCTGTCCCTTTTTTTTAGATCACAGTCTTTATACTGTTGTCACTGGATAGATGGACCAGATTGGAATCCAAAGTATGTACTATGCAGTGAAATGTCTTTAGGGTGTCTGCTTGCCACTCCTGAATCCCCTTAGATTTTTGGTCTATTAAAATGATCTAACAGCATTTGCATAAGTTTACTCCTCCTGCAGGCAAAATTCCTGTTGAAATGGATGAGATGCTACACACACAGACTTTGGGCTGTGAGGTGCCACCTAATGAATTTACACGTTATCGCTTGCCTGTGTTCCAAATCTTCCAAAGAAGTTTGCTCTGTGTAGTGCATGCAGGATATGACAGTGTGTTAGCAGTGATAATCTCCATCCTGCAGGCTCTACAATAGGATAATTCATTGTCAGTTAACTTATGCCTTTGCCTTTAGCTGAGAGAATGTAACCCGTGTCACGGATTCACTTTGCACCAGCAGCCGGAGTAGTGAGACCATTGTGCATTTATATATGCAAACTAAATCCCTCACTGCTGCTTACATAAAAATCTTGGTTTCTGGTATAAATATGAAAAGCTTTTGGTTGAAGGCTGCAGGAGGCTAAGATGAAAGTTTGAACATTAGAAGATGTGAGGGTGGTTATGCTAATGTATCCCAGCTCTAGAGAAAATCAAACTGCGAAGGTGAAGGTGTGATTCAGAGCGAGCAGTTGGCACGGGACAAGAGTTGTGATGGCTCCTTTATAATTGCTCAGCCTTACCTTTTGGTTTGTAAGCAGGGCACATAGCTACAACATCCCACTGGGACGTTCTGCAGCAACAAATGTTCCCAAGATGCAGGTCCTGCATCCCACCCCAACAGGTTACAGTGAAAACATTATATTACGTTGCTAATTCACAGTGGAGATTTTCTTAAGAAATTTTCTTGCCTTTGACATTAGGAAAAAAAAAAAAAAAGGATTCTTTATTCCCCATTGGGATTCATATTTTTATAAGTTATGGCTGCATAATAAGGATTACAAGGCATTCCAGGTATTAGTGCTGAGTATTCAAATTATCCTCACAGGTTTAAAAAACCCCTACAATTAGCTGCAGTTTATGAGTGTATGATTAAACTTGTATCTTAGTCATTAAATATAAGCTGGTCGTTCAGACTAGATGATCAGATGTGATTGCCCCCACCTTCTAGCTATTTTAAATCTTAGTTGTGCACTACATATTACAAAGAAATTTCTTTACATTTCTCCCCTGGGTGCTCAATTAGACTTACAGCCTTGTAAAATTTTGTGGATCCCTGTGCTCTTGGTATCACATGTACACTTTTCAATTATAGAGTGTCTGAGGTTAGTTTTTTAATAATTGGCAGATCTCATCAAGTGATGAAAGTCTGTTAGATGATGATGCCTTTTCCCACAAGCAATATAAAGGAAGGGGGTTGCTAAGAAGCCCCTGGGGGCCAGGGCAGCTCCGTGAATCCTCCCCAGTCCCACACAGCAGAGCTGTGTTGGCAGGAAGAGCTGTGTCGGCTTGCAGGGGATGTGACCAAGTGTCACCAGTGCTGTGGTGTGTAAGACATCCAACAGCGCTCTAAAACAGCCTCAACCAAGGGTAAGTACCCACACACTTGCTACTCCTTATGGGTGACTCCCTCAGGCTGCTGTGCTGAGGCAGGTCCTCCCCAGCTTCGCTCCCCCTTCCCTTTGGCTGGCCAAGGGCTGTGAAGTTGGAGTGTGCAGGAGTGATTTCCACCCTGCTGAGCAGAGTTCATCCCTGGCAGGTGCTGCAGCTCCCACAGCTGCACAGCCTTGCCTTTCTCAGGTTTCCAGGGCTAGGAAAGGTAACGAGCTGTAGACTGATGTCTGCCCTTAATGGTTTTTTTTATCTGCTCAGGGGGTCTGTTTGTTTGTTTGCTGTAGTCACAGCAAGGTTTGTTTTGTAGAAGCTATTTGTTAAGAAGATAGGAGGAATAAAAAATAAAAAATGACTGCATCAAAAGATAATTGGGTGATTACCTAAAGATAATTGGGTAATTAAGTTAAAGACTTGCTTTCTTTTCTGCTTAAGGCCTCCAGTATGTCTGAAGGTGAGGAGGGGACTGAAGGTCAGTGCAGGGATTGCTGGGCAGAATTTTCTAGACTGTTAATAGAACAGATTGCTCCTCTGTAGCTGAACAGAGGGGCAAGGAGGCTGGTGCCTCAGGGTTTGTTAGAAGCCAGGAAGGGATTCACCTTCAGTTTGTTCTGCTGCCTCTTGGCAAGGCCCTACAGTAGGTGCTGTTGGTCTGAGTTTGTTGTAGGGCCCCAGGAAGCGTTCTGTGCCTTACACTGAGTGAGGGTGCATGGAGCACGTGTGTCATGCACCTGTAAAATGCAGGGACTTGCTGCAACTGTAGGGGCAGCACTTGATGACCTCGCTGCTCTCTTCTAGATCCGTGGCTTTTGTTTTGACATTGCTCACCCTCCCAGCCCTTTAACACAGGGTAACTTCTCAGAACTACATTCTCCCGTTTGGCTTCAAAAGTTTGTTTCCTTAAACCTGGTACCCAGACACTGAACAAACATCCAGCTCTCCCCATTGCACTTCCCATTGCATTTGTAAGCTGTTTTTTCAGGTCCTGTCAGCCAGCTTGCCCCCACAGAGCAGTCAAGCTGCAGAACTTGCCACGTGACACTGGGGGTGTGAAGAGCTTGCATGAGTTCCCAGGTAACCTGGAAAGGTTCATGGATGAGAAGTTTTCTGGGAGTTAATAAATACATAGAGAATATGCCTGACTGAGCAGTTTCCAAAGTCAAACAAATAGCTGGGGGTTTCCAGAAGAGGTATTGCTAACTGGTCATGCTGTTCTTTGTTTCTCTGGGCATCAGGTTTTGGCTGCTGTCAGAGGCAGTGTAAGGGACAGATGAATCCTTGGTTTGACCCAGTACTGCTGATCTCTGTGCTCCAAAAGTGCTAGGATGAAGCAGAGGGGAGCTTTTCCACTTTTCTGTGGACTTCTTTGCAATGAGCCTGCCTAAGAACCCTATCTAATAGGGTTTCTTTCCATGTCCTTCTGCTAATACCTTCCTTTATTGCACATTCTCATGATCCTCTATCACTGTTGTTATAAATGCTAATAATAAATCCAGGTGACATTGATGGTAGCAGGTTAACACACAGTACTGAATGGAATTATTGCCTATTCACTAAGCCACACCTTGGCAGGCTGTTCACCGTCCAAAGGAGCCCATAATCCATGAAAGGACACTTTACATCTCCTGGGTGTTTATCCAAAAGCTGTACCACAGTGGCTCTGGATTTTTACGGTGGTTTTGCAGTGGAGTTGAAACAGAAACGGCTTTATCAGGGTCATGCAAGTGATCAAGATCTGCCCCCGGTCTCTCTCCTTTAGGTGC